GTATTAAGCCGAATTATGATTACTATTATCGATGGAATGCGGTTTACACACTGTAGGATATTTTATGAGCTATAATTTATAGCAGGTGTCATATTTAGTGTCGATTTTGTTCGAATTAACCAAATTTGCGCCCCAAATAAAATTCAATTTGTGTTCATTTTCTTTGTAAAATTTCGTTATGGAATGTAGTTTCATTTTGCATTCGTTATTGATGGATACATTTTAAAATTTTTTTCATCTTTTCATTCACGTCTTTTGCGGAAATAACCCCATAAATATGAAAATTAATTTAAATAAATTTTTGTTCCAGACGTTTTTTTTTAAAGCTTATTCACAAAACAATAAGTTCTATTGTTAAACTAAAAAAAATAGATGGTACAGCCGCAGTTTGCAGCAACTTTGAGAGAGAGAGATTTGAAATGTTCTGCCAAAATAGCTAAGAAAAACTAAAGACTATATGGGTAAAAAAAAACTAAAGTTTATATGGGTAAAATGTTGCACTGTCATTCGATACTGATATGGCATAGAGTTTATGGGTTAAAGTGTTAAATCGGCAAAGGGCAAACCAAAGCGGACCCGATCACATCACAATATTTCGAAACCACAACACAACGTAGGTTATACCTTTAACGAGACAGTCTCAGTTTAGTCTTTACCCAAAGTAATTCGATATCCTTTTCCGGATACCTTATCCCCGCTCTGTCATTTTGTATTTAGCAGCCAGTCGACCAATCACTTAGACGTCATTAGGGTGCGCCGTTTCGAACGCTCAATTTGACTGGGCTGTTGAATCGGCCGGGGTGAAACAAGTGAAAAAAACGAATGCAGCCGTTTCCGTTAGTGGAATTGGGTTGTCACTTAATTAAAACAAACACAACATGTCTTTAATTACCTTTTTATAAAAGTAAATATGCACTTAGGTAAGATTTATATATCCCCTCGGGGATGCTGTTATTTACCCCCGTTTGGATAGGTCACAAGTTGACTTTGTCATTCATAGATCATAGCAAGTAAGCACCAATATTAACTGGACAAGTAAGTAATAAAAAGATACTGCTAGTGTACTTAACATCCCTGTCGCGTGTGCTTTAAAATGAAGCGCAGTGGATGCTGCTAGATAACGATTTGATCATTTAGTGTCCCCAAATCTCTTGGTTTTAGTATTTAATTCCTAGTACATTTATTTTAAATTTACAAAAGAAATCTTGTTGATCAAAATGAGTTTCTTTGGTATTCACTTGTCTTGTCTACAGTCTAAATATTTTGTGTATTTTTCGATACTTTAAAGAAAAAGCAAATTTTATTATTAGAACTTCATGACTATTGATGTAATAAGAAATGGTTTACTCTGAGTAATCTAAGACTAGACTTCGCCTTTTGTAAGCTTACAATAATGACGATATGAAGGGTACGTACGTACCTATGCAATACGAATTTTAGAAGAATGTTTCTCAAACAAAAAATAATAATCATTTTAATAGTCCATGAAAAGCTATGATAGAAAAGTGAAAAGCATATTCTCCAATTACTAACCATTTCAACAGATTTTAACTTAAAATTGAGACAATTACGCTTCTTTTCTCGAAAATGAATAACAATTAGACATAAAGTATTAATTATTAAAAGTAGCCTAGTTTTCATAAATAATCTAAAAATGGACAAAACATAATGGTGTTGTATTTAAAATGTTTATAGCGATTGTAGTGTACACAAAACAAGTGATTACTCTACTAACCCTACAACTTTGGTATAACTTTTCTTTTATAAAGTTGTTCCGAGTATGTTACGTAAATTACGATTATTAAAAACTAATATTAATAGTTCGAAAGGCTTATTTATAAATTTTTTTTAGGTTTAGTTTATTTATCAACCGACATCGTAGTATTTATCTAAGCGACTTAACCGAAGTCATCGTGGATCGTACTAGATAAATAAATCAATAATTTTCGATATTCGGCTGTAACTCTGAATAATTCTCAAGGATGTAATAGATCAAACAGACCGAAACCTTTAAAAGCGTTCTTAATTTTTGCCTTGGGACCGATTTCGTGTACCTGGACTTATACATGATTACCATGCATTTTGGGTGTGTAAGCTGAAAAAAAAATCTAACGCAAAAGCGTTTTTAAATGTTATGACATGCATTTTGAATCTATCAATTACAAGTGATTATTTTGCAATACTTTTTATTCTGTCTCGGATTTCGTACTACAGTAATGTCTATTATTAAATTATTGCCCCATCGAACGCTACCAAATCTAGTTAATGTCAGATTATAACTGTAATAAAATAATTGATTAACTAAGGTTCGCTCAATGATTTTTGTTCGAGGATGTGTTAAGCTTGCTGTTACATTTTATTTGAGTAATGAATAATTGGTGCTTTTTGAATAAGCAAAAATTCTTCGACAGATGAAATTTTACAACCTTCAAGATTTTAAGGTTATTTTGCTTATCCATAATAAAATACCCTCAGTTAAGTTTTTGAAATTCGCATGCTGAATATTTTGCGTTTTGAATGAATGTATCAACCATAACTTGGTAACTTGGAATAGTTGGGTAACTTGGTATAGTTATTTTTTTTAAGCGCAAAATTGCTTTGATAATAACTGATTGTAAACTATTGTTTTAAAATATTTGTCTTTTTTCGCATGGCATATAAACTACAATGAACCCGCGGTAACCCCACAAAAGTTTTGCAAAGCGATGTGGGCTATCGAATTGTTCGGATTATTGCTCACGATCCCTACGGCCTGGAAAAACCATAATAACCCTTTGAATTGTGAAGAATTAGATATCGAAATGGTAAGTGGTAAGGAGCCTGTATTTTCTTGTGTGTGAATATGTACCGTATTTTCAAAATGGGGTTAACTGAGAATAGATCAATCTTTTAGATATAACCTCATTTAATGTTGGAACATAACGCTGGGATTATTATTATTTAATGCTTAAAAAATAAAGTTTTGAAAATATATAGAAACGGTATTATCTTGATTCAGGTTTAAAGGCCGTCGTCGGTTGGAATTACTTCCTAACGTTTCGCTAGCACCAGTGGCGAACTTCCTCAGAGGTCCTTCCATCTCCGATGTTGGACGTAGACTCGGAGATGGAAGGACCTCTGAAGAAGCCGCCACTCGTGCTAGCGAAACGTTAGGAAGTAATTCCAACCGACGACGGCCTTTAAACCCGAATCAAGATAATAGCTTATCAACGGGCCGCAAAAGCCTTAACCAATTTATATAGAAACGGTTTTGTTATATCAGATAGTTAATAAAGATATTCAAAAAATTTAAATTTTGACCCCTGCTTTTCAGACAAATGGCAATATTTCATTTTAATTTGCGTTCGAGTTTATATTTAAATTCAATGCTAATACGCAACACTCGCGAGTGTTTTAAGTTGTGTGTTTATGTATCAGAGAATCTCAACAAGATGAAATATGTATATTACTCGATGATAATATGCAACAAGTTTGATAAAAGACGTTTTATTTGATTTTTCAAAGAAACTTCCACAGGGTACTGTAATACTGTTTACAAAACTTCTGGATTCTTCCTGCGTCAGTTGTTGTTGAGTTGAACTTGCATAACGTTTCACCAATCTTCCTGTTGGCGGAAACTGTTTCAGTTAAGCTCTGAAGAAGCCAACAGGATGATTTGCGAAAAGTTAGCAAGTTCAACTCAACACCAACCGACGCAGGAGGAATCCAGAAGTTTTGTAAATAGTATTACGTTATAGTCTTATGGAGAAGGTTGTAAAGAAAAATTTTTGTGTTGCTGTAAGAACTATTATAAAAATAATGCTACGCAAACAATTTCGTAGTGGACAGAAAAATCCACACTGCTCAAATCGGAGAACCATTTAGAACTTTTACTTGTTTATGACAATGAACCTAGAACTGAAAAATTTTGTTGGTGACAGCATCTGTTTTATGACAAAGTAGAATTACGAAGGCGAAATCTCCACCCTTTCAACTGTATTACTAACCCAGATAACCGACCAAAGTGTAAGTCTCGTCTGGAATAATTTGAAAAGGAATATTTTTTCCAATATCCAGAATCTATTTTTTAATTAATTAGATTTTTTTTTATTAATTAGTTTATATTATTTTCACTTTTTTTCGGGATGATTGAATGGCGCCTTAATAAAGTCACAATATTTTCGTAGCAACATGCTGCCCGAAAACTTTTCCAGGTAACTTTGTGAAGTAAAAGGAATTGCAATCGCGTAAAGTTCTCACCGTTGACCACCAGAACGGCAGTAGTATTTCCGTTATATTTCCGATTCCCATGCGATGATCGGGCAACGAAGTTCCCACCAGAAACAGCATGAGAGGGTTCGAATCGCGACCCTGTCACATGCAGCATCTTCCACCCTTCGCGTGCACCCCGAGTACCTGCTCCAGTTTTCTCAACAACTTGACCTGTTTCCGAATTATATCTGAGAGACAGACTTGTTTTGCTTGGCGTTGTACGAACGGATACATCTGCGTTCAGTCGGAATTATTGTGCTGTCTATGATAAAATAGAATGCAATATTTTTTTATAATATTAACTGTAACGTAACCGATAATTCGAAATGTATTTTATTGAGTGCATTGAATGAAAATTATTATTTAATAAAATGGATGAGCAGAGAACGTTGCGGTTATTAGACAAAAAAGCTTTTTGCGGTTTTCGCATTCCTTTCTTACCTGCTCTTAAGAGATATTGATATATATTCTATATTGAAATACCTGGAAAATTCTTTGACGAGTCAATGACGGTCGAATTGACTCGAGACAGCGTTTAATGGAGCTGACGTTGACCTTGCGCACGCCTGATCAGCGCATAATTGGGTAATTTAGAGTAGGGAGTGGCAAAAAAAATATCGAATATATAAAATATACAAATACGAATATGTACTCCAATTATAACGCCTAAAAATTAAATTTGATAAAAAATAAACCTTTTTAAAATGTACTACTTATATGGTAAGGTTTTACTATGCGTACGGGATTTAGGAATATTGGATAATTTATTGAATTTTTCAGAGAAACTTCCACAGGCTACTGTAATACTATTTACAAATCGTCTGGATCGTTCCTGCGTTGGTTGTTGATAAATCGAACTTGCTGAAGTTTCGCCAATAGTCCTGTTCGCTTCTTCGGAGCTTAACGGAAACTGAAAATTCAAAATATTATAAAAACCTTGAAACTTTTTTTGAGAGGCTTTACTTAGAAATATTTTTTACAGTTTTCGTTTAGCCTGTATATGTGGGAAACAATTTAAAAAGTAGGGCGTACATTTACATATAATCTCCGGTGCCGCACGAATTTTTTCATAATGTTCAGTGTCACATTATGATATTTGATTTGACTTTAATGTTCGACTTTTTTATGTCGTTCATTGCAACAGTATTTGGTTTCAGTGCAATGATTGCCTACACTTTTACACTGACTTTAAAACGAGTAGAGTGTACCATGAACAATGTCATGAGTAACTCTTATTTGTATGATGATCGAATTATTTTTTTTTTGCAAAGAAAATAAAATTAAATAATATAATAATAACAATTTTAAATACTAAGTAAAAATAGGGAATCTTACTTGGTTATTTTCTTATACAAGTTTGTGTATATACTCCAGTTAAGTAAGCTCTCATAGCTAAAGCACGTGCCCCGTGGTTAACGGCCAACATAATAAATTTTATGAAACAAAGAAATTTAAAAGAACAAAGGATTGAAGAAAATAATATTAAAAAAAATTGCAAAAAAATCATACTATCCCAACAGACTTTCTGATTCTAATAATTGAAGTAATTATTTTGGTACATTTATTAAGAACATTTCCTATTGCAATGAAACAATCACTTTTTATGACAACAATCTTTAGAATAACAATTTGCAACTTTGCTTTAAATTTTCAGGAATAACAGAAGTAAATGAAGCGCTTAATGCAAATGCAACTGGTCTGGATGACGTATCACCGTTAATGCTGAAGTACTGGAGTACATATATTGATAAATATGTTACGCAAATAATCAACTGTTGTATCGAAACAAGCTACCAAACCATTACCAAAAGTTTCTAATCCAATGACGTATAATGATATCCGTTTGAGAAGAATTCTTCCGACAATTCCAAAAATTTGCGAAAGGATATTATATAATCAAATGTACGAATTTTTAATTGCAACAAGCTACTTTCCGGATGAGTGGAAGATATTAATAGGGAAACCACTACCAAAAGTTTCTAATCCAATGACGTATAATGATATCAGTTTGAGAAGAATTCTTCCGGCAATTTCAAAAATTTGCGAAAGAATATTATATAATCAAATGTACGAATTTTTAATTGCAACAAGCTACTTTCCGGATGAGTGGAAGATATTAATAGGGAAACCATTACCAAAAGTTTCTAATCCAATGACGTATAATGATATCCGTTTGAGAAAAATTCTTCCGGCAATTTCAAAAATTTGCGAAAGAATATAATATAATCAAATGTACGAATTTTTTATTGCAAACAATATTGCTCCACTTATGCAATGTGGTTTTAAAAAGAAGTCTGGGACATAAGTAGCATTGCTTACTGTATTGGATGATATTTTTCGAGCGTATAATAAGAAAATGAGTATCGTTCTTGTGCTGTTAGATTTCTCGAAGGCAATGCTAAAACATTATGGATTTTCTAATTAATCTTTTACTTTTATGTTATCATATGTGAATAATTATAAGCGTTTGCGGACGATACAAAGATTTATCATTGTTTTGATGATGATTATGATAAAGTAGAATAAAACATTACTCACGATTTGCGAAGTTTAAGTGAACTCTCCATCTTAAGTTAAACCCTACATAATCCTCATTATTACTTTTTGATTTAATGATGGCACAGTGCTTAACTGTGTTAATAATGCTAAGAAAGATTTAAAGAACAATGTACAAAGGGCATGTGCGAAATTAAAAATATTACACACTAATAGACAAATTTTAAAGTTAAGGAAAAAGTTGTGGGAATCCTTTGCCTTATTAAATTTTAATTATTGTAATTTTGTATACGATTTGTTTTGTATATTCAAAAAATTCAAAAATGTGCGCTTTCTGTATGACTCAAGAAAATTTGATCACATTTCTAATTTTTTTAAACAGATTGGGTGGCTAAGTATGGACTGTGTCCTGCATCTATAGTATTTGCTATACACATACTCAAAATCAGTTAATATAGAATTTGACATTGAGAGTTAAGATTTTTGTGTTTGGGTAGAATTGTACTGTTTTTTTATTTTTGTTATTTTATATTTAATGTTGATACAGGTATACAGATCAATATTTTCATTCACTACCTGCGTCAATATTTCAACTAATAATTAACAGAAAGTAACCAAAAAAGAAATCTTATAATCTTGAACTTCAAGCCAATTTACAAGTCCATTGCAAAGTCAAATCACGCATTAGAGCATAGAGTTAAAACTACCTGACCCGCTAAAATGCGAGAATGCAAGCAAATCGGACCACTTCGGAACCACACATTCGACAATTTAACCTGTAAAGGAAGGATATTCCAAAACTAAAATACGTGCAATACAAACTCCCAGAATACGCCCTTTATGCTAAATACATAAGGCCGGAAATCTCATCTTTCACATAAATGGTAAGGATGCGCAAACAGGTCGAAGTATTGGAGCAGGTTATGTTCCTATCTTTGTCGCGTTTCCGGTACCTATATACATTCTCGATCAGCTGGGTGGAATCCTACGAGATGTAGGCGTTCGGCTCGTTGCCATTTAACTATTCATCATCCATCCGTCTATTGTCGCGTCTGAAGCGGAAAAGATATACACATTTTCTGCTTTCTCCTCTGTAACAAATAATCTCGGTTCATAGGTAATAGATTTTATTACAATTACTGGCGATTGTAAACAGTATTTATCAAGAACCCAATTTTTTGCTTTTACGTTTTCACAGGGCTCATAATATAACATAGAGAAGTTGATACCAACGGCTATGCATCTCTTCCTGAATCAAATTAACCCCTAATACACAAATAATATTGGATTGAATTGGATTGGATTTCCTATATTGTTACGACCGTAGTTCAATAACAATATTTTTAAAAATTCAAACGCTGGCAATATGAATACATGAAATATTCGTATTCCCTTTTCTTCATATTACCAATAATGCTATTACCAATATTGCTAATTAATTGTTGGGCCTGTGGTTTATTTCGATTTTAACCCATCATCTTTTAAGTTCGTGTGTGTTTTCTAACCTTTGTATTTTTTGTGTCTTCTTAAATCTAGTTCAATTATTGAAATGTCCGAACAAAAGAAATTTAGAAGACAATTGTTTACTTGATCATGATGGTGTCTACCGCGGGTTGACTGATAGCGATACTTAGTGTTGACCTGCAGTGATACACACGACATACGGTTCCCAAAATATCAGAGTTTTATTGAAGAAAAATAACAACAGGATGAATGTCTTTAAACGACGTTTAGCAATTTCCTACTGAAATAGTACGAAACTATTAATATCGGTGGTCAATAAACCTGCTATTAACTTGGAAGTTCACATTCTTAAAACTAGAGAACTGGGATACCGAATATTAACAATTTAGCAAAAATGATTGAGTCAACTCGAAACTGTTGCCAAACCAAAGGATTTAAAAATGCAGAACTTTGTTCTATTAGTAGATTGTTTCCTCATGACGTCAGACGACATTAAATATTTTTGAGATAACCACTCGTAGGATCATAACAGTTGAGAAATTTTCTTACTGCTTTGGTTGTACGTCCGGATTATATTTCCCGATGAGATATGGGGACACATGAGCGGCCTGATAGCTTCGATATAACGGAACCTACAGAGTTCGGGGGTCAGCCTTTCGAGTCGTACAATCCATGGTGACACTGATGGGTATTTTTATCGCTACTACCGATCTGAGAGTACAAAGTCGGGTTATGTTGGCACCGTCTGTTGTCTACCACCTTTAATTTGGGAATTGTAATCGACGGTCTGGTATCAAAACACAGTGTGGGAGTGGAAGATATTTTTACACCCGCGGATGTAGATGGAGGTCTAAGAAAGGAATTAATAATACCGATTTTCACTTTAATGCAACGCATATTCGTTTACGATAAGAAACTGAGAACAATTCATTATAAAAAAATATCGATCTTTTTTCCAAATTATAGAGTACTATTCCATATTGAATTGTACGAATAATTTAATTCCTTAGGAACTGTTGGCCACATATATATAAAAACAGCACATTTTGCACAACACGAATACAAAAGCAAGTGTGTTAAGTTTCGTGAGCGGGGTTTAATTTAACATCTTTTTCGTACTAGGAGATGTCTTTGAAAGTTCCAAGCAAATGTAAAAGCAAAGGTTAAAAGGAAAATCCTCAAAATCAAATATATCCTAATTACATATTGATAAACTCTATTCAAAAAGGAAAGAAAGCTATTGAAGCATTTGTTCAGTTTTAGCACTTTATACCTTAATTGTATAAAACAAATAGAAAATATACCCAATTACTTAATAGTGTAAATAAAACCTGGATTTCTAATCCCCAATATTTAGACGGTTGCCTATGTGTTTATGGGTTTTTGAAAATATTACTTCTCCAACGTTGTGTTTATCAATGTGGCTTAAGTTATTTCGACAATTTTAGAAAATATTTGCGTTATAAGAATTTGTGTTTTTAGGTTCGGTTTCCTAATTTTTTCCTTTTTTCCTTCAAAATGAAATTATGTAAATCGAATCGATTATTGTTGTTCTGTTGTTGTAAGGTATGAAAACCAAAATTCTTGTTAGCTTAAACTAATTATTATTAGTAGAAATATTCGAAGGCAACTTTTTAGAAACCCGACTCTGAGCTCTTTCCTGAGCGCAACACCTTACGTCTTCTCCGCTCCTCGGTGACCCCCCAAAAAGGAGTACAATGGACCCGATGTTTATACGTCAACATTTCGCATTCACAATTTTATAATGTATTTACACTTTTCTGTTGTTTCGGTGGTTGCCACATTGAGGTCATTTTACCAAAAATGTCGTAATAATTACTGTGTACAATTTCGAAGTTATGATTCCTTTTTACGGGAATCGCTGACACATTCTTGTTATTAATAATCATGCGCTAGACACAAAACAATTAATTGTACTTTCAAAATGTCTCGCCACCTCGAAAGCTGATTATGTCAGCGCTGGAAAAAATGTTTGGTTTTATATAAATGCTTAGTTTTACTAATTACTTTTCCTCGTAGTAATATAAAATGATTCAAAAATGGTAACCGAAAATGAAATCTCGTAATTTTTGAGTTAAACTTCATTTTTTATATAGGTATATTAAAAATGAGAAAGAGAAAAAATTTAATTTGGACACATGGATGAACACAAACTTTGTCCAAAACCTAAAGTCTTTTTCAAACGCTTAGATACTCCAGTAGTGAGAATTAACCCATTTTGTCCCAGTGGTGCGGTAATGCACCACCTATTCCATGATTTTTTTTTGCCGCATCCAGGAAATATTTTTGCACATCCATTTAGAAATTTTATTATTATCACTACTAAAGGACATAAAACCGAAGAAAATTTTGGATTTGTATTGTCATTTTTATTAAGTCTATAGCATGTAGATTACATCGCAGAAAACATACATTGGAAGTACTATATTGATTATGCTTTATTTTTTGAAAATGATTGATGCGTGAACGCACCACTGGTTTTATCTGTGAAACAAAACTTTGTTATTGCAAGTCTAGACAAGTCAGCACATGTAAAATAAACATCCAATAATTAGCGTGTTCTCTAGTATTAGTTTGTGCCTTGTGCAGTGAACGTTACAGTTCGTAAAATATGGCATTTCCCAGTTATTTGACTCAAAAGGAATTAGAGGCGGCTATGGAGGAGATTATGATGGATGAGGACAATAACAATGAATGTAGTAAGTATTATTTGGGTATACGTATTCTTATGTATTGTAGGATTCCATTCCTTGTAAATTTATGCTAAAAATAATGTGAAAAAATATTTCCCGACGTGGATACCTTGATTGACGAACAAGATATGGTATAAGAGGTTGGGGAACCAAGTGATATAGTTGGAACTTTCGAGTTAGATACACCGAATGATACAGCTGTCCTTCAACAGTCTTGTAATTTATCAACTACTGAACCTGAATGGGACTCATCAGATGAAACCCTGGAATTCAAAAGAAGATGTATGCTTTCTGCAAACGACAGGCTTGCTTCTCCTGTCAAATGGAAGAAAGGTCAGATTGAGTACACTCACCCACCTATAACCGATGAATTTAGATCATGTGAGGAACTAAAAAATGAGATTTCTGGAAAAACTCCGCTTGAAAGATTTTTTATGTTTTTCGATGACGAAGTGATTGATTTAATTTTAAATCTTACATTGCTTTGCGACTTTTAAAAACTGATAAAACAATTACTCAAAGAAATCTTGCATCTGCCATAGATGACGTGCGTTATGATAATCAAGGTCACCTTATGATTGTTCATGCTAATAAAGCCCGAAGCCGATGTAGAATCTGCCACAGCCACACAATTTACGTTTATAATAAGTGTAATGTGCATTTACATACTTCATGCTTTGTAAAATATCACCAAAAATGAAACCGGGTGTTACCAGTGGTGCGCTCACGCACCATAAAATATTATGCGTTTTTTGCATCAAATCAGGTTCTATTGGAAAACAATCTACTTTTAGTTGTTTTCTGCCGAATTTGAACTTTGTTTTGTATATTTACGTATAAATCATATGTTAGATCTTATGTACCCCAAACCATTATTGAATGTTTTTTCCCAGTGGTTCGTTTACGCATCAGTATTTTTTTGTATGTTTCAAGTTTTTATTTTTTTTTGATACATGTAATGTATTCTTAATTCAATTTCCAAAAACAAATGTTTTTTTTTCAAAAAAAGCCAGATTTTATACTAAAAAATAAAAAACGATCTACAATTACATTGGACAATCAAATCAGCTTAGCAATAACAATTTTGACACTCTTTAACTGATTTTTTAGTGGAGCTAATTAGAACATTGTCCTATTGGCAGTTGGAAGTTTTACCATGTATAAAAGAGTAGAACCCAAAAATATCATGATTATTACAGTTAACCAGTAGTAAGTAACATTTCATTTGGGAAAAAATACTAACCCCTTGTATCTCCACCAGTGGTGAATCCAAATTTTAAGAAAAGGTCGCGGATAATATTTGCGAATGTATGCAACCCAGTATTTTAAATGTAGGTTTTACCTCTAAACCGAATTCCGAATTTGAAAGGAATTTTAAAATTTACTGGAGGTGGCCATTTTCTTAGAGATCGAGAACAGTCTTTCTGGTGGAGGAACTTTCTGAAACCAGCTAAGAATTTAGAAAATAGAGACTACGTGATTCGCCTTCTAGAACCCTCTATTGTTTAATTTTACTTTCATTCATCAATATTCGGAAATGATTAGCAGACTGGAGTACAAGAATGCACATCTACGTTTTTTTAATTTATTTATATGGTATAGTCATGACAATCTGGAATCCAGCCTTGTGGAATGCTAGAAGTACCTAACGAGAGAAAAAGTTCACTAATAATAAAGTAAAGAAAAATTTTAAAATCGCAATATGTTATGGTTAATTTTAATTTAAAGGCAAGACATCATACTATCGCAAGTTTCGGGGTTGCGGAAGTTTTGCTAAAACAATTCCAATCGTGTTCAAGAAAAAGTTTACTTTTAATTTTACCAAAAAAAAACCTTTTTCAATAGCACAATAGTTGAAACAAGCTTCCGGTTCCTTTAAGTATTGCCCCATTGCTATTTAACCAGACGGAAGTGACTCGGTCGTCACCTGGATAAGCACAAATAAAAACCATTTTGACCTTTCTATTAAAGGAGTGCGTAATATGTATATTTATAAGTAAGTTTTGACTTCATTGAACTCGCATAAAAGGGCCGACGTCGCGTTAAACCCGAAATTACGTCCTTTTTCCCACGTTTTTTGCTTCGATTTTGATTTTAGATCTCGATTGTCGATGTTATTTTCGGGGTTAATTGTGAGAAGATCTACCCAAAGCTTTATTATGCTAATAACGTCGCTCTAATGGATCAGTGGAAACTGTTAATATTAATTCATCCCAATCAATAATTTTTTATTAATTTTGGAGTGACGATTTTTCAATATGTCTTTATTAATGACAACACTGTCCGATAACCAAAAGAACGATTTGTAATGATGTATAGTAGTAGCAGTAGTAGTAGTAAGAAAACTACCAACAAACATGCTTTAGAGAAATTTTTAGCTATTTAGAAGATCATAAATTTTAGTTGCTTATTAAAATTTTATAAACGTTTTATAAACTTAGTTGTGCATTGACGTATGTGTCTATATAATAAAAATCTATTATCCATTATTGAATTGGAGAGACAAATGAAAGCTTTTTATGACATTTTCTCACCACTAAAGTTATTAAATTTCTTTTCTTTTTATTGACATAGTATGGTGTGCATTCTATGGGCGGTTAATCTTTTAAAACTCTGAAATTATATAAGAGGTGCTTTGTCACTGTGATATATTTTGTAGTGCTCACTTTTGTTGTATCCAGGTACAATTTAATATTTTGCCTACAAAACGCTATTCGTGTGGCGATATTATATTTTTCTTTGATATATCTTAATATATTATTCAAAATTTTTATTTATTATTGTTTTATTATTTATTTATTCTTAGTGGTTCCCGGCATAAAGAATTGTCGTAAGTATGGTGTATTTGCCGCACAAAAATTTTGCTACTAAAGCAGCTAAAAGGAGGCCATGGAAAACATTTTCGGATTTAAAAGACGACCTCCAGGGGGCGTAACTTTAAAATTTTAAAGTTATCAAAGGAATTTGAATTTTGTAATCGTGTGTTGCTTCTGGTGGGAGATGATTTAATGCTTGTTTTATTAAACGGCTGCAACTCCTTGAACGATCGAACAGATTCATACAGATTATATCTGTGATATGTCTAGTTCTTAGCTGAGTTAAAAAATATGAATCTTATTAAATGGCAAATTATTGCTATAAGTTGATGTTAAAAATCATATTTAGTGCATTTCATAATTTTAAATTAATTTAAAATTTTATGCCCGAACTTTTATTGTTTCTATTTATTTATGTTAGTCGTTAATGCAGCTTATTCTCCATTTTACAAAACAAACAAAACAAATATTATATGTCCGATAGTTAATATTATGTACCGTGGGTTAAATTTATCTTGATAACATTTTAATTGGCTATAACTTTTTTGTTTTGAGAAATATCAAGGGAAGAAAAAAACAAAATGTAGGGTTAGTAGCCAAGTTTTTTGTGCAAGTTTATTATATTATTATGTATATTATATATGTGTTTAATAGAATATCTCATTCGGATTACAATGATGCAAAACACTTCATATTTTAATCCACTCGTTTTTGACAAATCGGCAAAAAAAAATTATATAGATTATAAGATATTCTATTAAACACATATATAATATACAGGGTGTTCTATTAAAAAATATATCAGATAATTGATAGTGTTTTGCTTTATACGTCACTCGAAAAAAAGCTTGGCTACTAACTCTAGATTTTATTTTTTCGTTTACCTTGATATCTCTAAAAACAAAAAATGTTACAGCCAATTAAAATGTTGTCAAGATAAATTGAACGTTCGGTAGGTTATAGTGAAAGAATAATACTGAAGCTTTGAAAGAGGCGTCATCTAGGGCAAGGAGTCCTGGAGGGATAAAAAGGAAACATTTTGGTACGGAAGAAGAAAATATGTCACCGATAGGACTACAGTCGGTGTTGGCTATTGCAATCAACGCCTGGATATCAGAGGCAGCTTGCATATACTGTCTAATAAAATGTCCCACGAAGAATGGTACAACTGATATCCTGTTAGGCAGGACCAGATTAAACCTGAAAAACCTGATAGGAATATATATCGGATACTGCAACCTGAGTGAGGGATGAGGAAATGGCAGAACATGTATTGTGTCGATGACCGGAGGTGGAAAAAAAAAAAAACTCAAAACTGATGACCGATATCCGGGAACTTGAGAAACTGAAGAACATACCACCTCACCACCTCGCAAAATAACGGACTTCGCGGGCAGAACTTGATGCCACAATAGATCAATTCGTCAGTGCAGAAGACCGGCAAGACAGTCACACACAATAACCTAAACCTATACCTAATAGCGAAGCGAAGAACTTATTTTTCCTTAAGTTGGTGGAACGTTTATCTAATATGTGACCTTAATAAGAATTAGTCAAAGAAGCAAGTGTCAGCGTTTAACGACTACCTGCGTCGCTGAACTTTCGCAACCCAAAACCGCAACAAAGAATAATGAAAATTCGTATACTTACTTATATGCATACGAGAACGCGAAATAATCGAATTCGACTGATAAAATCGATTGATAGTGAGACCTTTCAAAATGATAAATCGACATACGTGTGAGTGAATAGTGCGCATCACAGTGTTGTCACAACAGCTTAAACGCAATCGCATTTATTTTGATCACACGATAATCTTAATTGGAAACCGTTTTTATATTTGGATCGGTCGTCCAGGTCGAAATAAATTTATAACGGATAAAAGCCGACACGCTCAATTCAACTTTATTTTAAATTCACTTTTCAATTGAAAAATCTTCCTATCAGTAGTTTAACAAAATGACTGTATTTTTTTTGGCCGAATAAGCTATCACAATAGTTTTTCTGTATTGTTCCTCAACAGGTGTGACTCTTGGCACTATTTTGTGATAAAAACTGGTTCCTAAACTTAAACGAAGATGCAAACTATTGAATTCAAACCATGGGGTCAATATCAATTCAAACACATTCAAGGACCGTTTATACGTTTTCTAGTGGCTTTATTTCTACAAAGGTTAGGTTTGTCAAAGAGCGATACTCATATCTTTTTTGACAAATCACAAATTTTCATAGACACACGCTAATAACGAAACAATTCAAAATATGATCTGAGAAATAGTCAAAAAATTATTATTTTTGGAATATTTTTGACGAATCGTCGACCCTCTCACCGCTCAGAAAATAACGGACACAATACAAAGACATTGGGGAAAATCTAATTCTGCTCGCAGTTATGGGCAATAAATACAAAGAAGTATTTCATTTAGCAACCTATTGATTTTTAATGGAACTGGGTGTAAAGCAGTTACAGTTTTAAAAAAATAATATTAATAACAATTGTCGATTACTGTTTTACTTATTTTTGCGTTTTGGCTCTTGGGTACCAATATAGAAAAAAAAATGGTTTTAGCTTTTCTACCAAGTGGTGCCCTATCGAGTGTACATTACGGGCGAAAACCTGTCCGTGTTGTAAGGTATTTTTTGTTGTTTCGCATATTTTAGAGTACCAAAATCAAATTTACCTCTACAAACTTTCGGCAAAATCCTGTTACATTTAACAGAAACGTCAATGCATTTAAAGTTTAGTTGCTACGAAGTATACATACATCTTCAGAAGCAATACGCGCGCCGCTGTACTCTCAAGAAGCAAGAGCTTCATAATTACAGGCTTTGCTAATAGCACCTAATTTAGATGTCGTCTAGTGAAATGGATGAGATTTTTATCGATAACCAAAGGTTTTATATGAAAAGAGCTTTTGAACTTAATGGCTTTTAAGATTAAAAAATATATACCTACCTATTTCAGTTCTATTTATAGTGGTTCATTGCCGAGTTTTAATCTCTCTAATTATACTTTTTATCTGATTCGGGTCACGTAAGACGATGTCTCTTACTATTGCTTTATTGTTAGGGTATACAAAATCTCCGCAAAAATATGATAATTGAATACTATTTCCTGTACAGCAAGCCGTCTCTAAAATTAATAGCCTTATCATTCAATAACATTTAATTAAAATTTCCTCACATTGCTTTCCTTATTGGCTTTTGTCATCGAAGTGTTGTAAATTCCGACAAATCATTAAACATCTTCCCACGTAACTTTGCGTTTATTTTGAATGTCACTGCTAATCCAGCCAAAACTTATTCAATGATTAAGATCTTCGGTAGGCGCCACTTGTCTTTCTGGCCATAGTTACGCCAACTACTTTTCGTGCCGTGTGTTGCCATGTTATTTACTTGCTTTTAAACTGAAGCTAGTATGTACCGGAGACTAAATATCAACGACGTTATCATAATATATACACGGTTATTGACTTGTGTTCTAATAAATGTTGTCTAGAACATAGCGAACTGTTCCAAGTTTGGTGTTCGCCCGTAATACGTGAAAATCTTTATTTTTGAAATATCTTCGTCTAAGCGAAAACTAATTGCAACTTCGGAATTCCTGGCCAATATAATTTCACATTATACAAAAATTGTAAGTAACTTTTGTAATCAACTCGTACCTATCGGTCTTAAAACATCATTTATTTGTTTTTGTTTCTTGGGTTAGCCAATATGCAACACCTCTATATGATATAAACGCAGGGTGCTAACAGGGTGGTAACAAGGTAAGAAAGTAAATTAAATTAACTGAAGGGTACAGAAAACGCTTGAAGTGGGAGAAAATTAAAGAAAAGGAAGCATATAAGTAAAGGTTTAATAATTTAATTGAAAAAGTTTTATTTTGTAAATCTAAACTCATTAGAAGTTGTAAATCTTTAAAACAGTTGCTCTAAGCAACTAACCTAATGATCAGAAAAGTGATATTTTTGATAAAAATATTAAAAGTTTACATTACTTTTATTTATTTAACTTAATTTATTTTAATTCAAAGGTAACACATTTTCCTGATTCAAATTCTTTGATTTGACTTATCCACATTGGCAGATTGGATAGGTATCGTTTTAGAGTGGATATTTTTTAAACCTTTGGGTTTAGAAGAAAACTGATTTAAAATTAACTCGTATTAATAGTTCTAATCTTCGATATTCGGATTATATTATCATCATAATTATTATTGTAATTTTATTTTCTTCAACATTATATAATAGGTTTAAAATATTTTTTGGTGCTTCTTAAAAAGATGTGAATGTCATTCGTTGTCATTTATTTTTTATTAATTATACAAAAAGTTTGTTTTTTCTATTATTTTTGTAGTCAAACATGATATGAACAAATAACAAAAACAATTTTAGTTTATTGCTGTGTGCCTATTTACTTGTTACTTTCGAAAATCTATAAAATGAAAATTCGATTTCATCGATTTTCGAAAGTATCTGCGCTCGTATAAAAATTTTATATCTCGGTAATGGTAAGTCCTACGGCATCGCCGTTGGTACAGAAATGATCACCGTCAAAAAAAATTTTTTTTGGTCTGTTTGTCCGTTCTCCGTTCTCGTCTTTTGGTTTTTCCTGAATAACTTTCGAACCGTTGGAGTTACAAAATTGAAATTTGCCTCCTTTTTAACCCTCCACGATGCACATAAGCTTGTAAGAAATGGTCCTGATGCGAAGCCGGTATCCATCTTTTTTTCGCGATTTTCGACTGTTTTTTGGACCTTGCTATGAATCACGATAAGTGTCCGAAATTTAAAGCAATCGATTTCATATACAAAAAAGACCATTTTTTAAAAACCGTTCACAAGACCGGAAAAATTCTTGAACCAGAAGACGCAGAGGAAACCACTCCATAAACTTTTATTAATGAATTTTTTTTAAAAATATACATAAAACTGAAAAATGGGTCCCCCTATTATTGAAAATTGGGAATAATTTCAAATCTGTGTTTTAGATGTCACTTTCTTTTACATGACGATATAACCCATATAGGTAGCTTAAACTTTTGTGCTTACGGTTTTCAAGTATTGTACAGGGTGTTCGCGATATTCCGTGCAATAATATAAAACATAATAAGTACTCCAAATTTGTAGCTACCGACTTCAGACTTGGGAGAGAAGTTGAAGTCTGGACGGGCATTTAGACTCTTTAAATTGGGAACAATAAAATAACGCGAAGTATTTTATTTTAATTTTTGAATTTTTTTTGTGGTTATTTTGGCATCCAGAAAAACAGCTTTTTCTCCAAAGCCATTCATCCGATCGGATAAATTTTACATCCGTAATACGCATTTTTTCGATTATATACAAGGTGTTTTAGTTATAGACAAAAATCTAAAAGACCCGGAAAGTTGTTCTTTTAGAGAGTAAATTATTAACGTTAAATCAAAATTCGTACAAACAATAGCTAATCCGTTCAAACAGTCTTATAGGCCGTATCAAGCCCTACAATTTTGTATTTACGGTTTTCGTCTGTCACATACGCTGTTCGAGATATTTGAAATAATCCAAATGAAAATCACTATTTCTCGCCCTCAATCTAGACGCGATGATATCATTTAATATTACCACGTATTCCATGGTTTCAGAATACAAGTAGTTTTTTGAAAACCCTTTACTCCATTGGAAAAATTAGGATACCAGGAAACTAAGGAGATCCAGGGCTATATTCTCTATTTCGAACATTGTTAGAATTATATACAGGGTACGTTGTTTGTGGGCAAGAAATTCTAATAGATCCTAGAAATTTCCGCCTTTGTGGGTGAATTATTGGCGATGCGTGAAAAACTTTTAAAGATGTGATAATTTGATATGAACAGTATTGTAAAATGTGTCGAGTCTATAATACAGGGGTTGCAAGATATTTGAAAAATTATAATTTTAAGTTGCAATTACCAGTATAAATTTTAATATTTACCGAAGTGTGCCGTAACTTTGAAATTCGAGGAGATGTGAAGGACACTTTATACAGGGTGTATTCACAATCAAGCACGTTCTTTTTAAAATGAAAAGGTGATTCGAGCTATTTGCTACGAACTTGAAAAGCTCACCGACGATTTTTCTAAAGCAATCTTGTTTTTTCTGCTTCGAGTAACAAATCAATTAATATTTACCAAGTTTAGTAAGTAATCACTTTCTATGCTTCTTAGAAGAATTATTACTTTTGTTGATTAGAGTGGAGAGTATTATAGGACATTTCCTTTCTTTCTCAATTTCTTTGATTTTAAACATTATTATGGCAAGATTTCATAATAAACTTAAAATAGAACATTTTAAATGATAACAGGCAAAATCAATGTACGGGTTATCTTTTGCTCCGATTATTTTGAGAAATTCTCTAGAAAAACCCTCATAGCAATTATGCCCTTAGGATTATAAATAATAAATCATCTGGTAGTACATAATTTAAAAAATCAACGAAGAACTAAAAATATTGCTTGATGTTTTGAGAATTTATGGATTTATTTTGAGATGGTCTTGTTAACCTCGAGTGATCAGATTTATCAAAATAAATAAGAACTAAAAGTTCAGATTTTCACGAAATTATATATTTTTACATGACAATTGTTTCGACAACACCGTGTCTTTATCAAATGTAATATTTACGAACTACCTGGTATTATATATACCGAAAAATGACCA